GTTAGAATTGAAGGCAGGTGAGATAGAGAGATATGAGAATCTTAGCTTCTTGGTAATCTGGGTATGATAGTAGTAGGAATCCTGGAGATGAACCGGGGCTGAGGAAAATCGGAATAGCGGAGACTGAATGGACTTCTGGAGGTAAGGAAACAACAGTTAGTAACACTTGTAAGGAGTCTGGCAATGTTCAGGTAGTGAACGGTAGACCGGCACTGGAATGCTGAGTGAAGTGAGAAGATATAGCGGGCTTAATTGGTGATGCAGGTGCAGGTGATCAGAATTCGGGTGATTGGGATCTGGTGTGTGTCGGAGGAGGTAGCTGTGCTGACGTGAGTGATTGCGATGATTTCCTGACAGGTAGCCAGTCGTTAGAATACACTACAAGTAAATGGGCCAACAGCTGTTAAATATTTTCTTATATTCCTCTGTTTTGCTATTAAAAGTATGTTGTTTGAGAAGTATGTCGTTTTAAGTGTGTAGCCTATATGGTGGCACAAAAAAACGTTCTCACTGTATTGTAAGACTGTAAGGTGAGAAATAAGGAACAATATAAAGATTCTTAGGAAGTAACAACTTTTAAAAAAATAAAATTCTCCTTAAAAAAGGTGTCACATTGGAAGTGTATGACCGCCTACAATCAGATTGCAGTTCATGTGGAGAAGCTGTTTGTTTGTAATTAATGTATCTGTTACAAATCAGTAGAGTTTGCTGCTTGCACTTTTGCCTGTTATTTTTTTCCTAGTTTGCAGAAGCACTTCTAATGGGGGAGAATGTGTACTTTATCACTGTAATAGTTAAACAAATCAAATGCAAAATATAAATAACACGTATACTATATGATACAAATATTGTATCATTTGACCAGTTTTAAAGTTTTACTGCATTTTGTTCCTGAAATCCACACTTTTGGAATCAAGATAATCAAAGGTAATCAAACCAAGCACAACCTAATAAAACGTGTTTCATGGATAAAGGGTTTTGGCAAAAAGAACATGTTGGTGGATATTCTACTAATATTAAAAGCATGTGGGTCATCCTATTCTGCAATGGGTATAAACAAACTGGTCCCATTGATTTGGAAGTATGTTTCTTCTCCCAACATTTAGTCTGATTTCATTGAGTTTGTTCGTGGTGTATAAATCTCTATTTGCCATTTGTTGTTCATATAGCAATTTATAAGAGGTTTTAGATCCATAAGAGATATTACTTACCACAGAGTCCTATGACATGTGCTTGCTTGTGTTGATCAGTAGGCCTATCCCTAAATACCTATACAAAGTAGACACTTGTATAGCTTTCACTTGTTTTTTTTTTAAAACATGATTATGTATTTTATATACAGGTGTGTTGTAAATTCCATTTATGTAATGCATTCTCCACATCTGTCAATAAAACTAACACTGAATCAGTTGCTGCCTTTATTCAGCAAAAGGAATCTTCTTTTGTCTTTGAAATGAAAATATACAAATTACTGTATGGTTTAATTTAGCCATTTGTTATTAAAATATAAAACATTTTAATTGTTATAAGTTTGTAGAATATAAGTAAAACATTGTTAAAAGTACTGCAAGGTTGCTAATTTCACAACTTGACCAACACACATTTGAGTCAAAATGATTTTCATCTGAATCACAGTGCACCACAATGCAGTATATGATTAAGACAAAAATCATGTGGTTAAAGAAATTTTCACAATCTTGCCCCTTTTTGTTGTTGTTGTCTTTAACTAGCTTTTTGTCCACTAAATGTATCATTTTGGGCAAAAAAAAAATATATATATATATATATATAAAGAACGTTTATATTCCAGTTCATGTGTGTAAAAAAAAACATTGTTTTCGCTTTATTAAAACTTGAATGATTGAGCAAACGATTAGGAATGGCACAGAATAATAATAATAAACTTTATTATGGCACAACAGATACATTTTGGCAAAGTTATTAAACGACACATTGTAAGGTAAAATAAGAATATTATAAAAATGCTTAATAGTTGTAGGCTCATTTACTTGGAGCATAGCCTACCTCAGGTAAATCATTACGACAATCACTAACCATGACACAATATATAAATAATTTTGCATATTAACAATTATACTCTAAGCATAATGTCATTCTACGCTGAAACATACCTTTTTGAAAATATTTTATGATCCAGTGACAACGCACTAATATTAACAGAGTCGCTTTAACGCGAAACAGGAAACTCATGAATATTCATGTATGCTCCGTCCAGTGACACCAACTAGCTCAGACACCGGCTGCGTCCGAAACCGCCTACTTCTCTACTATATAGTAGGCGAAAAGTAGTAGCCGAGCGAATAAGTAGATGCGTTCGACTTCATGCGGCGCCGACGCTACGTCACTGTCACGTGTGGCATCAAAGTACCGCGAGAGCGTTTCGAGAGCAGCCGGCTGACTCAGCTGGCGCAGCTTTTTCAGAGCGACTGCAGGAGCGCTGATGACGACACAGCCGTTTCACGATTGGCCAAATTCACCACATCACAACAATGACATGTGTTTCTAACATCTTCAAATCCGATACTGCTCATAAATCTGTGCTTTTAGATCATTAAAAGCTTTTTTTACTGTAGTCGCAATGTTATATTGAGTCACGTTTATCATGAAAGCATATATACCCCCACTTTATTAGTATTTAAATAGTATATATTTACGTTGAACTTTATTCTTGAACAGATGGCCTTGTATTAAGCAGTATATAAAAAGTGTTTCTGTTACTCATGAAAACGTTTCTGAAACGTTTGTGTATTTGACAAATATTGCATTTAATTCACTTCATCTGTGATAAGAGTATGCAAACACCGCGCGAGTGTCACTAACTGGAGCAGAAAGTTATGGAAAGCCATATGGGTCATAATTCGCACGCTTTCCACCGCCGTATCGATATTAAAACGCCGTTTTCATAACGCCGCCAGGCGTTAAATAAGCGCCGTTAGGTGATAAGTTAACGGCAGACGCCACCACGCGTTAAAATAACGCCACACGCCGACCGACGTTAAGTTAACGCCACACGCCACTTAAGATGCAGATTTATTTGCTCATCTACATGGACACACCTCTCATGGCTACAAGGACTCTACGGCAAGTCGGAGCATCCAGTTTGCAAGAGCGCGAAGATGGCAAGTACAGCCCTTACAATTCTAGATGTAGGGGGAAAAATGCCCCTGAATGAGCTTTTGTCTCATAAAGTTATCACACGAGTCATGAATGAGTGCAAATTTGGAAATTATTTTATACAACAGTTAAATAAATAAGAAATGTTATGGTAAGTCTTGCAATATATTGCAAAATATATTTATAATCAGTCGTGAAAATGGACAAAATTCACTGGGGGACCCTAGCTTGGAATC